CGGGAGCCACCAATATCCTGTTCCGTCAGCAGAAGCATCTGAGCGATGCAATTGTGGAAGTAGGAATCTTTGCCTTTGAGCTTTTTGAGCTGGGGAAGGGGGGAAACAGAGGTTGCATTTTAAATACAGCTTTAAAGTTTCACGTTCATACCCAAGTTTTGAATTATTTCCCTGTGAAACAAATTCTTAAGTGCAGAAGCTTATTAAATTGGTATCATCTGTTAGGATAGGGTTAGATAAACTGTGCACTACATGGGTTTCTATGTGGTTTTATATCCAGTGTCTGATTGCAGGGCACTTAGATTTTTGTTTTGTTGCTGGTGTAATTTTAACTTCTCGAGTCATGGGCTTTTTTCATGACTTTGTAGTAAGGTCTTCAAAAACAAGTGCTTGCAGCTGAGAAACAGCTACGCTTGGGTAATACAGCACATTGCTGTTGACTTCCTTCTGATTCAAGCAAGAGGTTAAAAAAACCACTAAGAACACATCATGTCAGTTCTAGCAAATAGATACAGTTATATCATCAGCATTTGGTAGCCTAAGATAGCTACATATAGGTAACCCACTTAATAAATTGAAGTGATAATCAAAGAGCCTCTAGGAGAATGCATATGAGCACCATACTTCCCCTGCCAGATCCCGTCAGGTAAGCAGCTCTTACTATGTGCCAGGGAGGTGATCAGGTTCTGGTTTTATCAAGCAGTATCTGACTTTCTGAGAACAGTTAATTCTTTGTTTCTTTGGCTGTTTGTTTCTTCTTGATTTTTGGGGGGACTGGAAGTTTAGATTTAGGTAGCAATATATAGCAGTGTATATATATATATGTCATCTTATTGAGATGACTGTTTACCCTTGGAACTATTTCAAACAGATAGAAGATGCTCATGTACAAATCCATGATCCAGAACTCCGTAAGATCCTGAACCCAACAACTGCTGACCTGAGATTTGCAGATTACTTGGTGAAGCACGTAACTGAGAACAGAGACGACGTTTTCCTCGACGGCACTGGATGGGAAGGAGGTGATGAGTGGATCAGGGCTCAGTTCAGTGCTTATCTTCATGCACTGCTTGCTGCTGTGCTGCAACCAGGTAGAACAGACACCTTGTCTGGGGACTGAGATGAGGGTGGGTGTAATAAGCATTTGTACTGTTGCATTAAATGTGTGGGCTGCCACTGGATCTCTCTCTGCCTGACATTTCACTTCAGGCCGCTTTTTCAGCTGACCTTGGCTATCCTTGTTAATCCTTGACAAGCTTGTTACTAATTCTTACTTCACAGCCTGACAGACACTTTCTTCTTTGTCTGTCTCCTTGATTTAATTAAGCTTTCCTCATAAGTAGAAATACGTGAAACCCCATATATGACGAGACTTTTACAGACTTGGGTGTCTTACAGGCACTATTGCAACCTGAGGTTAATTTTGGGGAACTGGGTGGATTTGGAGACATTAAGAGGCTGTCTTCAGGAAGTTTTCCAAGGCTGTTCCATCTCTTTTCCCTTCCTGCCATAGTCCCAAGCAGGGATTCACATAACTGAAAAGTATCATCTAGAGGTGTGTGTGTTTTCTGGAGCTCGATTTTTTGTCTTAACTCAAAATTCTCAATGTTCCAACATTCTGTGCATGAATATAACTAAAAGAATCAGTGTTTTATTTGTGGGAAATGTGTAGTTTGCCCAGCACTGACCCTGTTAACTTCATTCTCATCACAGTTATTCTATATTCATACCAAATAACTAATTCCTATTTTGTTCTGTGGCATTTGTGTGAAAACATGGGATTGAGAGCTTGATTTTTCAAGTCCAGAAGATGCTCAGTTCCTGTCTGACAATATATTAAGATGATTACCTGATTGACATGAAGTGCCAGGGTTTTCCTACCAACTTTGCTGGCTGGCTCTACAATAACTTTTTTCCTTCTCTCCTGGCATTGTATGTTTGGGACAATTTAAAATGAAACTAACACAACATTATTTAAGTGCCTGGTTCTTAGTACTAGAGTTTTACTTTGATTTGGTAAGAGCCTGGAAAACAGTAATATTTCTTTACCAGAAAGAAAGTCCTTTGTCTTGTATTAGGTCTCTGATGAATTGCTGCAAATTCTCACCTTCGTTTTAATTTATCAGACAACGAAAAGACTTTGTCAGACTTTGGAACGGCGTTTGTAGCAGCCTGGAAAAACACCCACAACTACAGAGTATGGAATAGCAACAAGCATCCAGCCCTTGCAGAGGTAAATTCTAGGTAAGGAAAGCATGATTTTCTTCTTTAAGCATTCACCATGGATTGCTCCTAGTCAGGCACACCATTCTGTAGAAATACAGTGTTCCCTTGTTCCTGCTACAAAGCACATTGAATCAATACCTCCTTCAGTGCTTCTTGCTCTCATTCTGAGCTGTAGTTCTAGGGAGAAAAACACATCCTGACTCAGAAGAAGTGAAGTTGTTCAAGTTGATTGTTGGCTGTCCAGCAATCTATAGAAATCTGTAGGAAGTGTGTCATTCCTCAGGAATTGTCCTCAGATAGTTCTGCTTTTCATTAATTACTTCCATGTGCCCAGGAAATAGCTGTGTCCAGGGTGGTCATTAATGGGGATGGAGGGGAGCTGCCTGCTTTGTGTTGCATCTCCTACACTTTGGATTATTTAATGTGTATTTTCACTCAAAGACTAGATGATACCAGGCTTGGTGACACTGTTGGCTGTGCATGTGTCTTGTTTACAATGGGTTGTTATTGTACTGCAGGGAGTTTTGTTTGCTCTTGTGTTGTCAGCTGCTCTAGTCTGAAGAAGGCTTTTCTTTAGACCTGCAAAGCTCTTTTGGCCTACTCAAGGGATCTTTTTCATTTGCTCTGTTTTGTTAGAAGGAGGTGCTGTGCCTTAGTGTGAAAAGATTGTTAATATCTGGACTGTAATTAGCACCTTATAGGTAGTTCCTAAGAAATCTACAGTTGAATTGTCACTGGGACCTTGCCTTTGGTAGAATTGTGTGTCTACAAGAGATTTCATTAGTTCTGTTGTAAGCCACAGGGAGGAGGACAAGTAATAATTGTGTGACATGAATTCATTTTCAAAACTCAATTCTTAAATGTTTTCTTGGGTTTTTCCTCCTCTTCTAGCCACCCATTTCAAGGACAGTACTCTGTGTCAGACGTGAAGTTACGATTGTCACAGTAAGTGGATAGTACTTTGACTTTTTATGTGTTTTTAAAGTGATATCAAGTATTAATAGCCTTCTGTTGCTATGATGAACTAAACAAAATCCTCTGAGAAGCTTGCCTAACTGATCTATGTGGGTAAGATTGATCATGTTTATATATGTATGTATAAAACTATGTATACGTACATTATGTGGGTTAGTGTGAATATTGATATCTCTACTTGAACTATGTATTTTATTTACACCTGAAAGTACTAAAGCAGTCAGCTGACAGTGTTCAGTATCTCTCTTGTTTAGCTCTGTGCAAAACAGTGAACGGGGAAAGAAGATTGGGAATGTGATGGTTTCTACTAGCCGAAATGTTGTACAAACAGGAAAAGCTGTAGGTAAGACATTTGTTTCAAACCAGCTTGTATCTAAGCCATATCTTTTTGGAAGAAGCATCCTATATCTCAGTCATGGTTTGTTTTAACCCAGGTGTACTTTATTACATACAAAGCAGAGCAACATTTTGAGGGGTAAAGCTGCTGATTGAGGCTCTGTATATCTGTGGAACAGCAGAAAGAGAAGCAATTAGACAAACAGTGTCAACTCCTTTTCCAGGGTGGGCTGGAGGTGAATGTAGGAAAAGAGATGTTCAGGTAAAAGCTCTCATGTAACCTGGAAATGCTGAGACCACGTCGCCACCTTCTGCATCGAGCTATTCTCGTTTTTATGTCACTTTGACTGAAACTATCCAGAGCTGGTTGAAATCAGAGGAAGGTCTCGTGTCACTTTCTGCAGGTTTTGCAATAGTCTCTCATTTTCTGGAAAAGCACTTCTTGTGCTTGAACAGCAGCCACATCACATTGTCACAGAATCAACGAGGTTGGAAAAGACCTGTAAGCTCATCCAGTTCAACCATTCCCAGCAGTGCCAAGGCCACCACTAACCCCTGGCACTGAGGCCTCATCTACCCGGGCTGTGAACACTTGCAGGGACGGTGACTCCAGCCCTGCCCTGGGCAGCCTGTTCCAATGCA